TGATCTCACACTCACCCTTTGATTATACATGTGGATTTTATGTTTACCTATAAAATGTCCTTCATACACCTACTAGCCTGCTTTGGAGGAATCCACTCTCAGACTGTAAATACTACCAAGGCACTCCTCTTAGCTATCCAGAAGCTCTACTAGACTTTGCTGAATCTTCTTTCTATTTTCCTGAGTGCTACATTAATAGTAACTATTTCACTAAGTTCACAGCTCTCCTCTATAGCCGAGGAAGTGTTCTCCATAACCCATAGCTCACCCCAAAAATACTCTCCATAACCACCACTTACCTACAGCCATACCTGTCAACCTCCTAAACATCAAATGTGTAGTAGTGACCTCCAAAATGCATTGCAAAGGCCCAACATTCATAGCAGTCATATGTCACCATGAGTAGCCACAAGTGTATGGTTACAACACTGAAAGCATAGTACATAAAAACAAAAACATTAAGGATTTTCATCTCTAAAACATTACAAAAAATAAAGGTACAACTAAATGTAAAAATAAAATAATATAATGACAGAAATCAAAACAACAAAAAATACATAAGGACACTTAAGGTAATAACTACGAATATAACCCATGGAGAAGGAAAACTAGTCAGAAGATTCAGGATACACAGTTTGGGAAGGCAAGTTATGTGTATGCAGTTAATGCCAGCGAAATATCAGAGCTGCTGAAGAAGAGAAGAGGAGCACATCAGCAGTAATGCTGAGATTTCAGCCATGCAAAACACTTAAGAAACAGCATTTCAGTCAGAGAGTGCATAAGAAGTTTGCAGGAGGAAAATCTCCATTCCAAATTGCATGTCTAGTAAGTTAGTTGATCAAGTCCTTTAATTATTCATACATTTGCTCTGTCCTCTTAGAAAGACCACCATAATACACCATCCACCGGAGTTTTCCAGAGCCTAAGCACTCCAACTGCACCTATTAGCTAGCCTGTCCTGTTTCCAACTTTCTCTAACAAGCACCAACAGCAAGCCCAGCACAACCTGCCAGATCTACCCAGAGCAGCACACCAGAACCTCAGCACGATGCTCCCCAGGAACCAGAGAGAGAGTCTTGTCCTGCATCATGACCACCAGATTACAAAGAGACCCAGTTAGCAACCCATTATCTGAATGGGTTCTAATTTATCTGAATTCCTGTCGCATTCTCCTGCATGTGGATACTGAATCACTGTTGAGTACCACTCAACACTTACTAAAAAGCTTTTAGAGCTCTGCAGCCGTGCAGCTGAAAGAACTACATCTTAGCAAGTCCGTGGAAGATGGATCAATCCCCAGCTTGCTCCCAGCTCTCTTCTAAAAGCTAACTCCTGCCACACAGGCCTTAGTAACAGAGGGCTCTGGGGTGTGTTTACACCATACGGTAAAGCACCGTCTTAGAGATTTCAAGAAACAAATTAACTCCAGAGCTAGCAGCAGCACGGTCTCTGTAACGCTTGGGTGCTGTGCAAGTCCTTGGAGCAGAGCTGTGTTGGCACAGACCTTTCCTTCAAGGAAAATATTAATCATATAACTTCATTTCCCATTTCTTGATTACATCAGTGCATTTTGACATTTCTATTCCCTAATTTCAGGAACTGCACTCCAGAAATTAGTGTAGGACATTTTGTGAGATGCGGTGGGTTTCAGTTTTCCCAAACCTGTGCACCTCCAACACTAGAGCAACCTTTGGGTTCCAAGAACAGCCTCCATCCTATCCAAGGATCTTGCTTATGCCCACATTATGCCTTTAGATTTTCAACTTTTTGCAAGAGCAGAGGGTTGATGCAGTGCTAAGATCTGCACTTTGACTGGCTGCTTTCCAAAAGCAGAGTTAAAAAAAAAAAAAAAAAGAGAGGTTGCTGCTTCATGTTCTGTGCACCATTTGGAATTTGCCTGCATTTCTTGTGCTGTGCCTTCTGCACAGTCGCTCAGGCCCTAGTGTCATTAGCATAGTCTGCAGACCTGCAGAATAGCTATAATAACCTTTTCTGTTTTCTTTTTAGTCCTCTGTCTCTTTACTATTTTAATAGATTTACAGGATTATTGATTTGTAACTTTTCGAGACAGACAATCTCCTTTTAGGTTGCTTTAATACACGACATATGAAATACTTATGTTCTACATAAAACAAGTTAGGGACAGAATATTCTACCAGACACTTCTAAAGCAGACCTGGAAGCAGTTCCAGGCTCTGTGGGATATTGGTGGACATGCTGCAAGTAGTTGGGTACATGTGCCACGGGCTGTCACAAGGGATTTGTGGAACATCACTCAAAGACAGAAATTTGGTAAGATTCTAATCTGCATGTATATTATTATTAGTATTAGTCAGCATGTATAGTCTAAAATGGGAACAAAATGCACGCAACTGTCAACTAAGAGTACAAAATCTGGGTTTTCAGGCTCAATATAGTCTCTGAAAGATAGAGCAGAGCATCACAAGCAACAGGCAGGACAATCCAGCTGCTTCAATGCAAGTGCAATGCTGGGAGGTTTCTGGCAAGCTTCAGTGGAGAAGGCAGGGAGTTGAAGATAACAAATGCAGGTTTAGAGCAAACTAAATGTGTGAGAAAATGCAATACCTGAAGTGCAATGTAAAACTTGGATATTCGGGTAAGATTAAGGCCTCTTCTTATTAAAGACAGTAAATCTAAAACTGTGGTCAACCGGAAAGAACAAACACTGGTGAGCAAATGCAACTCAGTGGCTGGTCTCAGCTGAAGTGCAGAAGCATTGCTCTTATAAACAGAGTGGGGTGGACAGGTTCCACCATTTCCTCTCCCAGGTAAACTATAAAAAGCAATGGATTTCTCCTTCCTATATCCCTAACTGCCTCCCAACATACTCTTCCCACTTGGGGCCAGCCAAGTAAAGGAGATTAAACACTGAGGTGAGAAGATGACAAGAAGCATGAGGAGCTGTTAGATCCCTCCCCTATCATACTACAGATCTGAAAACTGCTGGCCTCCCACCTACAGCACAGCTACTAGAAAGAGCAGATCCCCAGGAGGGAGAGGCTGCAAAGGGTTATGGACACAGACTGGTCTCTGTTTTCATGAGAACATGGGATGCTATTGACAGCTGGAGAGTGGGAAACCCTTGCTCCGTGATGGTCTAGAAAACCTTGTAGCTGGAGTTGGACTGCAGCTGGCCGAGGTCACTCAGGTGCCAGTGGTCCAGTGTTGGGACGATCTTGGCCCCTATCTGCCCACGTACCATTCCATCCGCGAGGGGGAAGACGTTCAAAGAGTTAGGACGTTCCTTCCTGCTAAACAGAAAAACAAAGAGAAGGGAAAACAACCAGTTAGCCACTCACAAGGTTCTTACGGAAAAGAAACCACACATTAGCTCATCTGAAATATCAGTCACCAGAAACTGAATTGCACTCCTGCCCCTCACTCACTAGCTGTGCAGACTCTGAACACCCACGCTTCCATGGTGTCCTCCCTTTAGTCCCATGGTACCTACTGCTTGGGCTGTACATCTCCTGGGGAGACCCTATAGAATGGGGAAAGGGCCAAGAGACCACAACAGACACAACTGGCCTCACAGTTGATAAAGGATTCTGTGGGAATGAAAAAGTGCAAGGGACACTGAGCCAATTTAAGTCATTGTGTCCTCTGAGAAACAGAAGGCATTATAGGAAAATAAGCCAAAGCAAACAACTCCCTTCAGTGGATATCATGCAGCTGACACCTCGGACTCGCCACAGATCCCAGAGACCTTATCAGAGAGTCACGAAAGAGGCTTAAGTGAGCATCACCTACATGGTATTCCTGTATATCACAAATATGGCTTGCCCCAACAGCAGAAATCAGACTTTTGGATTATTTAAGGAAGAAAGTCATTAATCAGATTACTTAGGGAAGAAAAATAGCAATTACACTCTCTGATCATCTCTCCATATCAACAATTCATTCAAATTCAGGATATAAATAAACATACAAATGAACACATCAGTCACATGCCCAGATGTCTGTAATGATGTTTTCTTCACACCTCATTTTTTCTAGCAAATGGAGGTGACTAGCTATCTCTGGGTTTGATTGTGAGAAAGATCAGCTGGCACAGCTTTTGAGATTAAATTCCAGTGAGAGAAAATCTTGAGCAAGTAGTGGAAGTAGAAAAGGCTGCAGCAGCAGGCCAAAACCAGCCCTAGTTTTTGTGCCAGGCAAGCCAGCCTGCAGGTACTTTGCAGGGCCCCGCAGCAGCCTCCCCAGCTGGGTTCCAGAACCTCTCCAGCAAGAAACCAAGCTGATCCTCAGGACAACACGTGCCCAAAACGAATTCAGTAATGATAATTCATCAATTCTTTTATGTGTCTATTCCCCCTTTGCTCAGATTCCCACTTACTGTACAGGAAGAGGTAAAATCTCCCTGTATGAACACGAGAATGAGCAACACTAGATCATAATGTGTCTTTCTTCAACGATTAGCAGTACTGGTCTAATTGCTAGGCCAAAAAAAAAAAAAAGGCATGTTTGGCTGTGTGAAAGCTGAACAGATTTGCCTAACCAATCCATATTGGGGCTTCAAAAGCAAACTACACAGATGGGCTTGTTGGAGTCAATGCAGGAGGAACAGGGCAGGAGTAATCCCCTCTCAGATGCAGATGCGTTCCCCTGCTAAGCAGGGCTCCATGTTGACCCTGTGGGATACTGCTCCTGGAAGCAGAAATCACTTCTCCTCAGACCCCGCCAAGTGCCTGTTACAACTGCTCCTCTTGGGACCTTGCATGAAAACAACTGCAACAAAACCTAAGACCCCGAGACCTGTGCAAAAGCACCAACACAGAGGCTGGTGCAAGGACCGCTCATTTGCAGAGGAAGAGGTGGAGTGTGAATAGAAGCAACAATGTTTGTGCACAAATATCAAAGCACCCAGCCATTCCCTCCTCATTTTCTCACTGACCCAAGGCACTTTGTTTACACGCCAGCGTAGTTCATAGGGAGGAATAATTGCTTACTGTGGCCCATCTGTGACAGGCAGAAAGGGTAGAAAAGTGTTTCCCATGTAGATCAGCAAGAAAATTTGGAATCCACAATTAAATCTTCTGAAGATCCTGAAGGCTCATATGTGGAAGTTTCATAGAAAATCAACAAGTTTTCTTACAAGGGAGTACATAAATGAATTTAAAGGATCACTAATCACCCACACATCCTGAATAAGCCTACTTTGGTTTACAGAGTAGATACAATCACGTTTCAACCGATTCAAAAGCAGATTCATGTATGATTTGGATTACTGTTTTCTTTTAGCCTCTCCATTTAAAAGAAAGCCCTAAAAATGCTGATTACTTTTTAAAATTAACAGTCACTGTACGCTTACGGAAAATATTCAATTCGTGAGCCAAATTCTTTCCCATGTAAAAGGCTCTTAACAGTTGATTAGTTCTGCCTAGCAGCCAAACATGAGATCAAGATGCTTTTTCAGCCACATCCTAAAGCTTATAAAACATAACCAAACTGCTTGTTTGCCAATACTCGAAGATGAGAACTGCTCTCTTTTTAGGCTTAGGACAGAGGACTGAGGCAGAAGTGCCAGCATGCATCTCTGTCCTGCTCAGAACACACGGATGCTTTGCACTTTACGGTAACCTAAAGAAAAAAAAAGACCTTTAAACATTCAGGGATGGGAAATGTAAACACCAAGCACACAGGACTGATTTGGTTTCGGGATTAAAATTCAGTATCTTTTGCTTCTGAGCACACAAGCTTCTTCTGACTTACTGACATAGCAGCTTGTTGGTTCCCCTTACATCAGCCTGACAAACTGTCACCTGCATGAGCAAGTCTAACACGGATCCTGGTAGGTGAACAGGCTGGTGCAACACATTCCCAGCACTCAACTGCAACCTCCAAAATGAAGATTAACAAAATTAAGATGCAGCAATAGGATTTACCTTTTCCTCCATGACTGGCGATGACTGTAGTGACAAACATAACAGCCAAAACAGAGCAGCAATTGCACAAGAAGCAAGACAAAAAAACAACCATTAGAGAGCAAAGGTCATGCAAACGTGCAGCCCTCCGACGGACGCGGTGTATCCATGCCCCACGCTCCCGCGTGCCGAACGGCGCACCCCACCCCTCACCGATGGCGAGAAACACCCGCAGCCCCCAACATTTCTTGCATAAACATTTCTCAAAGTGACAGATACACCCAGAGCACTTGTGGGCTTATGCAAATATGCAGCTATGGGGAATAACCACACAAAACGCACCCAAGCACATCTAGGGATGAAAATGAACACGTGGATGCAGAATCCTAGGAAGGCTGTGAGAAACATATGCGTTTTCTCCCCAGAACACACATCAGTGCCCCACGATGCACAAATGCTGGTGCTCATCCACACGTGGCTGCACGTTGACACAGAAACTCACATCCAGCAGAAATGCTTGTACTAATATACAAGACACAGAGGCACACACACACACACAGGAACAGTACAAAGCTTGAAATGAAGGAAAAAGTCCTGTTTCCCACTGGTTGTTCATACAAATTCAGGTCAGAGCCTTGTCAGGGACTTTGACAGCTGTAACATGTCTAGCCTTTCTTTTTTCCCCTCCACTCCCAGGAGACAGCAGTATGCCACAGCTAAATCCACAAGGAAGTGCCACTTCTCCAGCACAGAGAAGCAACTGCTGATGAATGATCTTCCCCTCGCCCCAGGAGAACGGTGGTCTTGCAGCTACGACCAGGAAGGCTTTTCAGCGCGCTTCACCTTCGCTGAATCATAGCATGAAGCCAAAATTAATTTGAACTTAGCAGAAACTTAGGGAAGGGAAATCTCATTTAAATCAAATGCTACCATGCAGTCCAAACTTGGCAGTTACATATAAGAGCCATCGTTTAAAACATGGTGAATGTCCTTTCGCCTGCATTACGTTTATATTTTATGGTGGTAGAACTTCCACAGATATTCTTATTTACAGAGGGACACAGGGGAAGAGAAGGAAGTCTAACATTCTTATCCCATTAATGTCGTGACACAGGGATGAGCCTGGGTTCTAGGAACACGCTAAATTCCCAGACCACCAGGGGGAGAGGAAAAAGAAGGATCATCAAAACAAAGGAGATTTTATGAATGATACCTGCTCTTACATTCCAAGAATCTACAAGCTATTATTTCTTCTTACACCATGTCTTATCTTACAGTCTGTACCCATCAGGCCTGTTCCATTTGCCCAGAAAGACTACCATCTATCTATTGCCCCTTTTTAATTTTTGTTTTTGTTTGTTTTTATATATTTTTATATTTTAGACAATCCATTTGGATACAGACTTCATCATTATCTTCCATCAGGAAATGGCCAGGCAACTGGTAAACACCTAATGCTGTATTTTATAATTATTTTTATTATTCTAAATCACTGTTTGTTGTGAGATTAGTATATACAATTTTGCAGAAAATACAAGAGCAAGATAACTCATTAGAGCCCATTTAATATCCACGTTGCCCAGAGAGATTGTGCAGTCTCCTCCTTTGGAAGGAAAAATGCCATCTGGACACAGACCTGGGCAACCTGCTGTAGGTGACCTGGCCTGAGGAAGGGGACTGGACTAGATGGTCTTTAAAGGTCCCTTCCAACATCAACTGTTCTGTGATTCCCTGGTACAGTCTCCCTTCATGTGCACATAACTGTGTTTTCTTTTTTCTTTACATACACTCTGTAAGAAGGTGTACAAATGAGAACATAAAAATCATATTAACTGATTCAGAGTAAAGGCAGGATCTTTCTGTGAGATACCAGCACATTCCAGCCCTGAGTTGTTCTTCTGGTCAGAGTCACAAAAGTATCTAATTATTACAGCTGGTGATGAAATAGCAAATTGACACTAATTTAGAAGACAAAACCTGTATTTTTTCCTGACAGAGATGAGAAAGAGCGAGCATGGATTATGCATTAGTTGTTTCACTTTTAGGCAAAACTGTTTTTCATTTTTGAAAAACAACTCTGCAGAGGAGGCATTTGCAGCAGATCAATTCTAGAACTTTGAAATCCTTGGACAAGTAGCTAAGAAAGGAGCTCCTCCAGACCTATTCACAAGCCTCCTGACCCAATTCCTTATGGGTCAGATTCAGAACTCCACCGTAAAACAGAGAACAAGCAGGAGAAAAACCAGGTGAGTCAGCCTGCCGCCGAGTTGAGCAAAAAACATTTAAATCTGTGATTTTTTCTGCCCTGTTTCTGCCCTTTCTGTGATGTTGTTCAAACTTTTCTGCCTATTGAATGTCTGTGGGGCTGCTGTTATATGCTGTTATATAGAGAGGTTCTCACTAAGAATTAAAGAAATGGGAAAATGAACTTGCATATTACTTCAAGCCATGCTGTGTCATGTCTGCTCTGAAGCTCACAGCTCTCCCAGTGCCTAACCGAGACACAAACAGCAGCAGGCTGTAAATGCAGATATCAGCAAGGCTTTTCTTGCAACCTAACTGGCATTTCCCACCCACCTCGAAAGATCTAGTCTGTCCTGTCCACCCCCAGTCATGGAGCGCCTAGCAACTCCTGCACAGGCATCTTCGCAGAGCCTCAGTGCTGGACTGCAAGTGAGAACTGCTTGTAGTTAGGGAGCACAAGTATGTCACCACTATTGAACGAGAGATGGATTGAATGCGATTCCTAATCTAACAGGGTCTCTTGCCTTCCATTTCAATCATGATTCTCTGGCAGAAAACAATGTGCTAGTCAGAGGATGAATATCAGGGCTGCAGGGGCTCTGGCTGGAATCCCAGGCTATTTACCAACGTTTCTGAAGACACATGGCTGCAGCTGCTCCCTTCCTCCCTGAGCCTCTTTCACAGGGGGTCGCCTTCTCTCTCCCCTTCTTTCTCATTTACAACACACAGCCAAAACTTTGGCAGCCTGGGTGCAGCTTGATCCACAGCGGTCTAATCCAGTGAAAGGAAGCCACAGCAGACAGAAGACTTCAGTTCTGGAGGTGGTTTTTGTTTTGTATTTTGTTTTTGTTTGTTTGTTTTTGTTTTTCCTTTTTTTAATCTCAGGACATGAAAATTCCTTTCAATTACATTACCTTGGTGGCAACTGACACTCTGGTATTTAAGTGTCACAGCCCTAAATACTAAATGCAAGGTACTACAATATTCTTGTTTATTTTTCCTTTATTCTATCTACTTTTACTCTTAATTTCAAGTAATTTTACTCCTTCATCTCTAAACTTTGCTCAGTGCTCTTTTATTTTCCACCATTTCTCTCAGATTCCACTGCTTGCTCTTCAAAAACCTCCATGACTTTCTGCTTACCTATTTTTCCAATATTTTCAACTTCATGTGTTCTCCCATGCTCTCCAGTGCAAACTGTCATACCTCCTTTTCTTAGCCTAATGCTCTCCAAAAATTTATTTTTGAATGAAGTTCACAGATATTAACCAAGTGAAGTTCAGAGATATTAACCAGGATCAGTCAGACATATTTTATAAGATGCCAGAGAGAACGTAGTTAGCTGGTCATCCCTTCTGAGTATTCCTGTGCTGCTGGTACTGTATCTGTCTATTTTCGGACCAACAGCTCCCATGGCTTGTGGTTATGTGCAACCAGTGTGCAAAACCTTTCCATATTGATCGAGGCCGATCAATATAAAAGTTAAAAACTTCAAAAGTTAAAAAAGATCATGCAAGGAGAGCAGAAAGACAGAGTTTCCTTCAGCAGATTACTTAGTCAATATTGTTCCCCTAGGGACTACTGTTTTAGTTTAAATTTTTCTGGGCTAGTATGCATCATAATAGTGTTAATGGTATCATTAGCATGTAATGATTAACACAAATAATAATTTGACATGCCTGAAAATTCCCACAGAGAACATCTTTCTTATGGCTGAGTCATTTAATAGACCATGCTTGATCCCAGTAGATTAATATTGTGTATTACGTGATTTATTACTTCTCTAACCAATATTTCTGGAACTTCTCCTCTGTTATTTCTCACCTAATGGGTATTATTACTGGTATATAAATGCAACATAGAGAAAGCATCTGGTTCCTTCAAGCACAATAATCACAAATATGTGTACTGAAATCAATGCTATTGCAACTTTTCTGCTTTAAATCTGATATAAGACTGTAAGAACTGATGATTTTACACAGTGAAGTTCTTTCCTACTGCTGCCATTCTTTAAGCAAAGCCTGAATCTTACAGGTTCAGCATTATGAAAATGGACGGGAGGGGACACCTTCTTGGGTATAAAGAGATCTATCAGATGACTGACACTGCAGAAATCTTCCCTTGAATTAGGAGAAATTAAGTATGAGCTACTGCTCTTAATTACTTCAGTTTTGTTGCCTTCTATCATGCAAACACATAAAGACATACACACACAACTATTCTCTCTGCCATCCCCATTTATTTTATAAGCTATTTACATGCCCCCTGAAAATAAAAAACTGTTTTTCCACAGGCTCATAACAACAGTAGCATGGTAAAGCCTAAGCTTTGTAACACCACAAAGCTCCTCTTCACCAAGCCTTAAAAACTTACCTACAAGTCATTACAAATAAGCTTTCAACTTCAATCCATGCCCAGAGGAAAGTGTCCCTGGTTCTGGTTTCTTTTGCTCTCAAACAAGTGCATTCAACTTTAAAGTGCCTGGATAGCATATAACATGGAGAGGTTATGGCCCTACCTTCTCCCAGGTACACTTCCCTCAGTTTGATTATTTCCACCAACTTGCTGCATCTTGGATCGTTCAATGTGCTCCACATAGGTCTGGATCATCTGGGAAGAGGGAAAAATCCATGAGCCAAACAGAAAAGACTCCATTTCTGTTTTCCCTTGATCTTCTCCAGCATCCATTTCCAATTCCCTTTTTTTTGCATCCATTCTTGTCTTTGCTGTTTTTTAAGCGAGTGATACAAGTGAATGCATTAATGGGACAGAAAACAGAGTCAAAAATGACAAAAGTTTGATACTGTAATAGAAGATTCATAAAATAGTGTATCCAAAATAATGAAAAAAATGTGTCCTTTAGACTAGCTGGCAATGGGAGATGAGGTAGTGGGACACTGTTTAGAAATTTCAGAAGCTACAGTCATCACTAGTATTGTACAGCTCAACTCTTTTACATGATTTTACATATGAGCTAAGAGTTTTTTTGGAAAAAAAAAAAAAAAGATGACAGCCTACCTCTGTGTGACGTTGGTGCAAAGCATTATATTCTTTCTTCATTTCTGATTCCCGTTCCTCCAGTCGTGAAACTACCAAGAAAAGATTCCAACTGTTAGCTCACATACACATTAGACTCCACAAAGAAATGAGAAGGTTCGCTAAGTTTATATTTCAAGAGAGAGAGATTTTGTTCCTACTACAAAACAAAGCAATGTAATAATGCACATTATGGAATTTGATTTTCATTGCAAACTTATTTCATGGTTACCAATATATTCCCAAGATGAGCACATCAAATAGTGTAATGACATTTTAGAAACAGTAGACAACTGGTGTCCTACAAATGTGCTATTTTGATGATAGTTCAAATTATGCTTATGGTGGGCTCCTCTACCTATTTGAGGAACCACACAAAACACCAATTACTTCTGATGGGAAAATCAGAAAGCAGGATCTGAAGCTTCACCAATGGCCCAAATAACACAGCTAGACAGACTGGACATACTCCATATTGCAGAAACAATGTGGCCTCTATCAAATCAGTGTTAGATATACCCCGCATCCTCCAGACGGCTCACAAATTCCTACCAAAACAAGAGATGACTGCGAATTCCAGGCTTTGCATATATTACTTCAAAATACAAATAAATGAGAAATATCTCAGGGTAGCTGCATACACTCATAGAAAGCCAACTACAGAATCTTGACTGGTGCACAACGTGGCTTACTCTGGTCTGCATAGTTTTTGCTCTTCAGCTCCAGCTGTCTAGTCTGAAATTCAAGGTGTTCCACTTGGATTTGTAGTTCTTTCTTCTCCTGCTCCAATGCATCTTCAAACTCTATAAACTTCTAAATAGGGAGGAAGCAGAGAAAAAGTCAAGGGTAAGGAGTACACATGTTTTCCCTTCCCTGCATGTTTTCCCTGTAAGAGTTTTTCTCCTCCTCTCTCACAAAAAATGACAATTTAAGAGAATAAAATGCACAACAGGAAATATTATTTTTTTTAAGTAACAGAATCAGCAAAATAGCATTTAACCAAGTTAAAGAGAATGTTTTCTAAGAGAAAATGTTAACTATATTTAGCGTAAAATAATATATAAACTATGGCCTAATACAAGTTACATAAACCAATGCAATTTTGTCATCTGCAGTAATATTGTTCTCTCACATGCCAGGATGATTTCTGATTTAATTTAAGGTCAAAGAAGAAAAACTCTTATCGACTTTTCAAAGCTCGAATCGGAGGTGAGAGAGGTTAGAAAACAATGCAAATAAGGGCTAGACAACTGATAAAGCTAAATGAAAATTTATGTAATTTTGAAAAGAGACTATAAAGATTGTGTATAACTTTAATGGTTGAACCAGCAGGAAATCCTGAAAAGTCTTATTTATTTCCATAAGTTGAACAGGAGCCTGAATCAGCATGGAAAGGGAGAAAGAAATAGGACGAAAAGATGGACTGGCTCTGTAGCTCAGGACAAGTAAGACTTCCCAAATTAATGAAATTTTGCAGGACGAGAATCCCAGTAAGCCTCCCATTGGCCAGAAACCCCTTGGTGCAGCCAGCTTTTCTCAGGTCTTTCCTCCCACTACTCCTTCCCCTCCTGCTTTGGGAGCCAGGAACAGGCGGGGAGCCCGGAGCAACCTCAGCTCCTGGAGACGACGAGCTATCCCAGCACAAACTTGAGAAAGCCTCTGCAATAGAGGAATCAAAGGAGTGGAAAGGAAAACAGAACAGAAAAATACCTCATTTGAGGTTATTGCTTCTGTAAAATTCCACTTTGAGCTTGGGAGTTTTAGTAATTCTCGACATTGGTTACTGTCACACAGAGCAAGGATAAACAGATGGAAGAGCAAATCATACGAAACGTTCTATTCAGCAAAACCGTGGAGGATCCACGCTGAAGCTACATGATTGCTGATAAACTGTAGTTGCAGTAGCTTCCATGAAACATTTAAATCAAATAGGATACCTGAAAAGCAAGTACCACCTTCAAATCTCTGAGTATATTTAAGCAAACATAGTTCTTGGGTTATAAACGGACCTTTTGTGCAAAACACTATCCAGCTGCAATAATGACACACAATCCACAGCACAGACAGACTCAGGTAATAAACTGGTTCTGATAGCACTTCCTAAGATAAAACTTAGGAAAAAGAAAGTTTCCTAAGAAAAAAATCCATATGGTTCAAAAATATATGGCATTTGCTTCATTAATCACAAACATCCTCCCTACATAAACCAAGTCTAAAATCCAGTATAACCATGCTTACAATGGAGTAGAACACTAAAACTATCTCCCTGGTTTTACAACAAATCCTATCTTGGTCTTAAAAAATAAAAATCCAAAAATTCCATGCACTGAGCCTCATTACATTTTTCCTACAGAGCTAAATCTAGGGAAACTAAAACCACTGCAACAGGTCTCCTCCTAGAGATTACACACACATATAATCACACCATATGCTCTCTTTGCTCATTTTATGTATTTCTCTTTAAAAAAAAAAAAAACTTAAGAGCCCAGCCAGTTATGAAACAACAGGCTGAGTTGTCTGCACTAGTCCAGTAATCAAAGCATCAATCTGTCCCCTGAGCACTGAGAACAAGACTCAGTACTTGAGTATTTGTGCAATTCTACAACAGAAATACGACTCTACGTCATGCCAACTGCAGAGCCCATCAGATTACCTTTCCTGTCTCCCAACAGTCTTTTGCCTGCTTTGGAAAATGAGTTAGTTATGCACTAACGGTCTGTCAAACTTCATTAGGGAATTCAGGGCCCAGACTTGGAGCTGCAAAGCAAGAGAGGGAGGAGGAGAAAAAAGATGTCTTTAATCTTCCTTAGGATGCTTTATAGAACAAGAGGAGGTCTCAGGAGGGAGAGGGTCTAGTTGCAAAATGCTCCTTACACTGGGTCCTGACACAATCAGCACACTGCAATTTCCCATTAAAACCATGAAAGTTGGAAGGAAAAAGGGCACCAACAATCTGCAATGGTGGAAAGTACTGTTGCAAAAAACAAGGCCATCCTGCAGAGCAGAGGACTTCACCAGCTTCAGCAGTAAATGATCCCTCTCTTTACATACTGCAGTGCTAGAAATCTCAGTAATTTTAATTTAACAAAGTTAAACTACATTGGATTGCAAAAGTCAGGTGCGGGGGGCAAAACATGTTTAGGTAAGACTCCCAGAGAAACAGATGCAACAAAATGCACAGTAATTTTATCACTTTGATTTGTTAAAGCTCTGCACATAAAACAGCATGAGCCGTATTCCAGTACAGCAGTGGGAAGAAGCATGAACGTTTCCTGTTACTTCTAGTGGGAATAGCAATAACACAAGAGTCATCATTAAGTGTGTGAGCTTTGTCTTCGCCCTATAAATAGCTGAAGGGCTACATCATTTATGATTCCTGCCCACTTTTGTTACTGCTCAGTAAATTCCTCTGAACAATGAGTCGGTCCTCATTCCTGCATAGCTGTATTTAAAGATATAAACACATTTTAGCCATGCCTGATTTGCTGCACTCAGTGGTCTGCAGTGTCTTAAATCTAACTGGGCTTTTATCTTTCTTTCCTCTGCTTTCCCCATTTATTGCAGTAAGATTTGGGGTTTTTTTCTCCTGCTGTTCTTACTGCTGTTTTTCTAGCAATATT